AATTTTGTAATGAATAAGTGCCTTTCCATTTCTGAGGTTAATTTTTTTTTTTTGGTGGTATTAGGGATTGATTGAACTGAGGCCCTTCGTACTACATCCCTAGCCTGTTTTTTTCTTTTTTCTTTTGAGACAAGGCTTACTAAGTCAATAGGTTGACCAGGCTGGGGTTTAACTTGTGATATTCCTGCCTCAACCTTCCAGAGTGCTGGAATTATAGCTATGTGCTGTAAAAAGTCTTTTTTTTTTTTAAAGAACATTGCCTTTAGATTTTAGAAAATAATGTAGTCATTTAAAAAAATTTTTGAGTTTATAACTCAGATAACAAAGCTTAAATTATAGTTCTTTTATTTTGTTATTACTATATCTTTCAATATATAGTGCTTATATTCTTTTTGGGGAATTGGTATATATATGTGTCATATCATCTTGATCATATTTACTTTCCCTTCTCCTCCTTGTCCTTCCCTATTCCACCTTTCCCAGATCCTCTTCCCATCGCCACAAGGTCTACCTCCTTGTATCCTACCTACTATTACTTTTTTCTTACTCTTTTTTATTACTCTCTTTAGAGTAACAAAAAATCTATCTTTTCTTACTCTCTTTAGATTATTTATATTTTGGGTCTTTCATGTTAGGAAACCATGTAATATTTAACCTATGTCTGATTTCATATTATGGTCTAAAAGGTCCATCCCTTTTGGTGCAAACAACTCAGAATTATACTTCTTTTTGTCTGAGTAGTACTCCCATTGTGCATCGATTGTGTACTTTCTTTATTCATCTGTTGATGAGCATACAGGCTATTTCTATGATTTACCTATTTTGTGAGTTGTCCTGCTATAAACATGGGTATGCATGTATTACTGTAATATAATTACTTTAGCTGTTTGGGAAAGATACCCAGAGAGGTACAGATGGGATAAATGGAACTTTTATTTTTAGTTTTTTAAGGAATCTCCATACTGATTTCTAGACTGGTTTACACTCTCACCTACAATGTAGAAGGTTCCTTTCCCCAACAACCTTACCAGCATTTGTTGTTTTTGCATCCTTGATAGTAGCCATTCTTATTGGAGTATCACGGGTTCTTGGTGGTTTTTTGATTTGCATTTCTCTGATGGCCAAAAATGCTCAACGTTTTTTCATATACTTATTGCCCATTTGTATTTCTTCTGGAAAGGGTCTATTCATTTCAGCTACCCATTTTTTTTTTTTTTTAATTGGTACTGGGGATCAAACTTGGGTCTTTGCGCTTACCCAGCAGGCGGCGAAACCACTGAGCTAAATCCCCAGCCCCAGTTGCCCATTTTTTGATTGGGTGTTTTATTTTTGGGTGTTTTTTAAAGTTTTTAATATATTCTAGATGTTAGTTCTCTATCTGAGGAGTAACTTGCAAAGTTTTTCCCATTCTGTAGGTTGTTTCTTCACTCTGTTCATTGTTTCCATTGCTGTGCAAAAGCTTTTTTATTTTTGAACCAAGAGATTGGGGTAGAGGGTGTAAAAAGAGTTGTGTTATATACATGTACCAACTTTCCACAAGAAGTGTAAATCATTATGTACTGTAAACATGTACTTTCATTTGATATAATCCGCATATGTATCTAGATTCATTCTTTTGTGTATTGATAACAAATTTTCCCAACATCATTAGTTAAAGAAGATATCTTTGCTTTAGTGTGTATTATAGGCCTCTTTTTCAAAAACCACATGACTGAAGGTGCTTGGTGTGTTTCTGCATCCTCTGTTCTATTCCATTGGTCAATATGTCTGTTTTTGTGGTAATACCATGCTGTTTTTATTACTGTAGCTTTACAGCTTGAAGCCTGGGAATGTAAAGACTTCTGCCTTACTCTTGTTCTTAGGATTGGTTTAGCTATAGTTCCATATAATTCCATAGATTGGTTTTAGCTGTTATAGTTCCATATACATTTTAGAATTTTTTTTTTTTTTTAGTTCTGTAAAAAAAGCTGATGGTATTTTGATTTGTAATGTATTAAATCTGTAGTTCATTTTTGGTAATATGACCATTTTGATGATATCGCTTCTGCCTAGGAAGAGGGGATATCTTTCAATTTTTTAATGTTCTCTTCAATTTCTCTAGTTTTTGTTATAGAAGTCTTTCACTTCTTTAGGGTAATTCCTAGATTTTTTTTTTTTGAGGTTACTGTGAATGGGGTTCTTTTTCTGATTTCTTTTCAGTGTTTTTCTGATCAGTGGGATCATTCTTCATATGTAGGGATGCTACTGATTTTTGTGCATTTATTTTCTATCCTACCACTTGGCTGATTTTATTAGTTTTTTTTTTTTTTGGTAGCGGGGATCGAACTCAGGACCTTGCGCTTGTGAGGCAGGCGCTGGAACCACTGAGCTAAATCCCTGGCCCTGATTTTATTAGTTTAAGAAATCTTCTGGTGGAGTTTTTTCAATCTTCAATGTAAAGGATGATGTGATCTGCAAACAAGAATATTTTAACTTCTTCTTTTCCTAGTTGAGTCCCTTTTATTTCTTTCTCTTGCCTAATTGAGCTGACTAAATTTTAAATACTCTGCGGCACAGGTGTGGCAAGACTGGCCTCAATCATCTTGTTCCAGATCTTACTGGAAATGCTTTCAGTTTTTCCCCATTTAGTATGCTGTTCTCAGGGGATCTGTGATAAATGGGTTTGTCATTTTAAAGTACCAATTTTTTCAAGGTTTTAATTTTTCAAATTATTTATTTGCTTTGGCTTTTATTTTGAGTTTTGGGGGGTTTTTTGGTACTGGGGATCGAACTCAGGTCCTTGCGCTTGCATAGCAGGCGGTGAAACCACTGAGCTAAATCCCTGGCCCTATTTTGAGTTTTATTAGTACATGTTTGCAGTACACGATGACTGCATTCACTGCAGGAAATTGGTACAGATATATAACACATTTCAGTTCCCTTCTTCCCCCTCTTCTTTGGCCTCCCTTTTATTTTTCTAGCATCAGATTAATTTATAAGACCTTATAAAATTAATTATTACATATATAGATTGAAAACCAGATTAATAGGCTAAAGAACCTATAAAGCATATAAGATGATTGTTCTGAGTCAAGGTACACTTTTAGATACATTGTCTGCACTGGATTATAACACCTTTTCTTTCTTTTTTCCTATATAACCTGTGATAAATATATAGTTTTTCACATAAGAGAACAATGTGATATTTAAGCTTGTGTGTCTGAGTTACTTCACTTAACATTATGGTTTCAAGGTGTATGCATTTTCCTACAAAGCTTTTTTATGGCAGAATAGTACTTTGTTGTGCATAAATAAATTTTCTTTATCCATGTATTTGTTGATAGACATATATACTGTTTCCAAGATTTAGCTATTATGAAATATGCTGTTATAAACATGGGTATACGTGTAGCACTGTGGTATGATGTGTTTAACACTTGGGAAGACACCCAGAAGGGGAATAGCTGGGTCAAATGGAATTTCTACTTTTAGTTTTTTAAAGAATCTCCATACTGATTTCCATAGTGGTTGTATCAGTTTACAGTCAGAGAAGGGTTTCTTTCTTGCCACAGCCTTGCCAGCATTTGTTATGGGTTGATTTCTTGATGATAGCCATTTCTGCACTGAAATGGAATCTCTGGGGTTTTTTTTGGTAGCAGGGATCAAACTCAGGACCTGCTCTTGCGAGGCAGGCGGCAGTGGCACCACTGAGCTAAATCCCCGGCCCCCGGAATCTATTTTAATTTGCATTATTTGAATGGCCAGTGTTGAACATTTTTTCATGTATTTATTGGCCATTTGTATTTCTTTTTTTTTTTCGGTACCAGGGATCGAACTTGGGTCCTTGTGCTTGTGCAGCA